CAATATTTTGCCATCCAAGCAGCCGGGCATAAACGGCAGTTAAGCCATGCGAGCAAGTTCAAACGGCAGTTAAGTTGGCATGAGAAGAAGCGCTTAATTGCTTTGATAGAAGAGTTCAAGGGCTTATATGCAACAATTAAAGTTTAGGGGCTTAATAGCGATTCTGAGGTTCGCATAGGGGCTTAACTTATGGTTTTGCCTATGTAAAATATTTTAATTGAGCACTTAATTAAGCAAAGATTAACTTCTATTTTTCTTGTTAATTGATGTCAAAGACAATATTAATTTTATATTAAAAAATCATTTATTTAAAAAGTTTACAATTTTACAATCCACGCTTATAACCAGTAATGAGGAGCGTGCCTTACATATTTACATTGGTGAGGCCCCTCCATCAATGGTTATAAGATGATTTTAATGCCAGCATGTGTTGTGTGAATCACTGAATCTTCACATGAACACAAGGAAAGAAATGCATGAGACGGGTTGGGGAAATGAATAATGCAGAACATATTTACAATATTAAAGTCTTAAAACATAATCAACAGTACTTAATCTTCTCGGCAATAATCAAGAGTTCCTTATTCATTATTCAAGTAGTTAAAAACAGACCTGAGATAAGATCTGCAGCAATCAACTCTCACTAGGTTTGTTGATGGACAGCTCCATCTTGAGCCCCTCAGGAGGGTTGAAGAGTTGACTTGGAATAAGCAGAAAACTGACTGAAGGCAGACCATCATCAACCCATTTCTGGATGCTGTTTGTGAAGGACCGCAATATGAGTGAAGTTTTCAGGGCTTTTGCTGAAAGTTCATAGTAGTAACTTCCCCTTGTTGGCGGTCCAATTCGGCTCACAGTCACTAAATTTCCTAGATCTTCCCTTCTATTGTTGAGAATAAACAGAGAACCATCAAACTCTTCTTGAAAGATCTTGAATCTTTCGTTGGCATCTAACCTAAATCTTATAGGCCGACTATACTTGAAACGTGTTGCAGAAAAATTGTGGTTGCAGGTTATGTGTTTTGATAACATCTTCCATGAACCAACAAAGCTGCAGCCAGACAGAGGGCATGAACACGGAGCATGGATGCAGACCTTCTCATGATTATGCTTTACGCTGTAAATGGATAATTCTTGGCACCCATAAATTCTGTTTTGGCATGATACTTTGATTGATTCCAGGACCTTCTCAATGGCCCTGCAACGATTGTAGCCAATGGGGGTACAGCAGGATGGACATCTGTTCAAAATTTTGTTGCAGCATGTAGAGCAAGCAATATGCCCATTCTCACACTGAGATACCATTCAAGCGAACTTGTCAAGCAGAATTTATATTCGTATTTTGTAAGCATGAATTATACACTTCCAAAGTAAGAATAAATGAGACAATTCAATTTATGTATGCCATGACTGGTCTGTATTTCAAGAGGTAGAAAAAGAATGAACCAACAGAAGTTCACTAACATAAGGAAATAACTTCTTCAGGACCTAATCTTTAAGAAATTAACTAAGTTTTCAGAGTAACAGTTCTTAATAAACATCAAGGACCGGTGTTAAGCAGATCTCAATCTAAAATCCAAATATCATGCAACATGAAAACAAAATGCAAAACTTTTCTATACCAGAAAACACAAATTGTTTCAGGTACCAAATTCACATGGATAAAGCAAACATATTTTTCAGTTTATCTTTACATGTTTATCGTACAAAGACTCCAATCATAAAACTGAATAATCTGAATAATTCACCATTTGCAATAGTAACATGCTAAATGATATCATCATCCCCAAAAGGGAAGACCAATTAGTATTTAAGCATCCAATATGAAATCTCAAAAGCTCTTGTTTGACCTAACTGGAGCATTTTTAGAATTTCTGTTTATGAAACTATGAATAGCTTTCCTAAAACTACCGTGACATGGAACATAGAATTTGGAATTTTGAAGATTGATAAATTTCATTATAATCCAAAAAACCAGCAGCATAAGCTCTTTTTTTCTGAAAGTGTGAAATCAGTAGCTTCAACTCTGAGCCCCTTAAAAGCTGAAATCATTTTTTCTAGAAAAGTCAGAAGTACTTTTACCATGTCAATGAAGTAGATTAGCTCTAGCTTCAACCCATAGACCTGCTGAATGGACAGCCAAAAAGCACAAAGGCATATATCTTAATGTCTCTTGAAACTAAACATTAACGACCATGTCAAATTGTCAATGAAGTAGCTTAGCTCTAACTTTAACCCATAGACCTGCTGAAATTGGATGGCCAAAAAGAACAAAGGCATATCTCCTCTCCTCTTGATGCCCATGCATTTTCAAATAGCGGTAGTCATATCAAGAAGTACTTAGCCCAACATGTTGAGTCCAAGCAACACTGGGCAAGAGATAAGCAGCTTTCTTAACAAGACTATCACCCTTGTTACTATTGTTTTACAAGGTTAAAAAGGATATGAATTACCACATTTTTCCACCTACACTTTATACTTCCTTCTAGTTAGTTAGCATCCAATGCTAATCCTTCCTGCCAATCAGAAAAATGAAAAAGAGAAAAAA